CCCTCTCCTCCTTTTCTATCAGAGCTCCCTGTGTGGTGAGAATGTGACAGTGTTTGGGTGTCTGAACCATGAAGTCCCACTGACGTCTGGCGACAACGCATCGGTCACCTGTGAGACAGGTAGGCTGGGCTGTACCTGTCCATCCTGCTGTGGCCGTGGGGGTTGCACCCCCCATGTGTCCAGTGAGAGGCCGGGTGGGAGATGGCAGAGACCATGAGGGCATCTGTGTCTGTAGACGGGCACAGAGTGCTCTGTCCCTGTCCCAGCTCTGTCCAGGGGAAGGGGCTGCTCCCTGCCCTGCTCACCCGGAGCTCTCCCTGCCCACAGATTCCCTGGCAGGCTTCCTGCTCTCTGTCAACGCCACGGCCAGCCTCAGCCGCCTGCGGATCCCCTACCCCCAGACAGGCAGCTGGTACCTGAGCCTGCGCTCGCTCTGTGCCACCGAGCACGGGTAAGAGCCCCACATGTCCCCTCCCTGTGTGTCCAGAGGGGATGTCCCCACCATCACCTGCATCCATGTGTGCTGTGGGTCCCGTGGTGTGCCTCCTCCTGTGCTGAGTGTCACCACTCGTGTGTGCACATGGCTTCGTGGGCTGTGTGACACTGTGTGAGTGCCTGCGTGGGCACGGACAGCTCTATCTTGCGCCTGCCTGACCATCTGTGGGTCCCTGCGGCTCTTCCTTCTGTCTCTTGGTGAGGAAGTGCCTGTCAGCTTGTGAATGCCGTGCATCTGTTGGTGCCTGCCCATCTCTGTGGCAGTGCCCATCTGTATCCATGCCCGGGAGGGGACTGGGCTGTCACTGCGAGGACAAGGCTTGGCTGTGCATATGAGGGGGCAGCTCTGGTCAGGCTGCTGTGCCCCTGCTCTGCTCAGCATCTCCAGGGACTGGTCTTGTGTCTGTGGCTCTGCTCCTGGCCCATGTGTCTGCCTGAGAGCCCTGTGGAGAAGAAGGATGGTTGTGTGCATGTGTCTGTACATGTAAGACTCCATCTGGGGCTCTGTGCCGTGCAGACGGTGCTGTGTGCATGTTCAGGGCATGTTCAGTGCATGCATGCAGACAGCTCTGTGTGTGTTCAGGTTTGTGCAAGCAAACGGACAGGGCTGTGTGTGTTCTGCCTGCATGTGTGTGCAGATTTGACTGTGTGAGCACACTCGGGGACAGCAGACACAGGTTACATGTAAGACTCCATCTGGGGCTCTGTGCCGTGCAGACGGTGCTGTGTGCATGTTCAGGGCATGTTCAGTGCATGCATGCAGACAGCTCTGTGTGTGTTCAGGTTTGTGCAAGCAAACGGACAGGGCTGTGTGTGTTCTGCCTGCATGTGTGTGCAGATTTGACTGTGTGAGCACACTCGGGGACAGCAGACACAGGTACCCACGTGCCCTGTGCATATGTGCAGACGGCGCTGTGTGCATTTTTGTGTGCGCCGGGGTGCCTGCGTGTGTACAGGCAGCAGTTGGTGGGTGCTGTTGGGATGTGGGCCTGTCTGTGCTGCTCTGTGCTGGAGCTGCTGAGGTGCTGGGTGTCCCCAGAACTGTGTCGTGGGTGGCATGGGGTGGTGAGGGTGCTGTGCCTGCTCTGACCCCTCCGCTGTGCTTCTAGTTCACGCTGAATTGCCGGTTGTGATCGGTCCTTCCCCAGCACAGTCACACACAGGCATTGCAGGGCATGATGTTATCACAACAAAATCCAGACACAACAGGAGCCAGCTGAGTGTGTTGCTAAAGGCAAAACAGGTCTAAGCACAGCCATATTTCCCTGCTTGCCCAGCCTGGCACAGACCATTGCAGCACAACGAACCTTGGGGACCAGCTCTCAGCTGCACCAAAGCAGCTCATTTCTGCGCTCACCCAGTCCCCGGGTCTCCCATCCCCAGCCAAGTCTGGGTGTGATGGGTGCCTCAGGTGGAGACAGGAGCTGCTCGAGGGAGCAGGTTGAGGGCTGACCCCCTTCTCCTGCGCCACAGGTTCGAGCCTTGCACCAACGTGACGGCTGAGGTGTACTTGCGCGCTTACCTCTCACCCTGCATCAACGACTGCGGCATCTACGGACAGTGCAAGCTGCTGCGCACCAACAACTACCTGTACGCTGCCTGCGAGTGCAAAGCTGGTGAGAGCTTCCTCGGGCACCCACGGTGCTCACTGCACCCAGGGACCCCCCTGCTATCCTCCACTCCTCCCTGGGGGCTGTGCACCCCGTTATTTCCCCTGTGCCAGCTCTCCACAGGGTGCTGGAAAGGGGCTTCCCTGCTCCCTCCCCAGCCCCTGCGAGTGCTGCAGGGGTGACAGTGGCTTTCCCTGGCCACAGGCTGG